CCAGGACCTTTCCTTCCGGAGCTTACCTGAACCACCTTACTGAACTCCTCGTACACCCGCTTCTTGAGGTGCGCCGCCATGGCTGCCCGCGGACCTTCTCAGCTTCCGTACTTGACAAGGGAGGCGGGACGAATAGGGGGGCGGGAGGAAGGAAGCCGGAAAACTTGCCCAGGCCGGAGTAGCCTGCCACAGTCCCACAAGGCAGTGGGATTCCAGGCAAGAGTGGCCGCTTCCGGCTGCTCGACTGCTCCGTCGCGGTACGGTTGGATTTGGCCGCCTACGCCTCGGGTCCCGGCGGAACGGAAACGAGAGCGCAGCGAGGGGGCGGGGCCTCGGGCGGAGGAGACGGGACTCAAAGGGTGGGTGAGCCAATGGGAGCTTTCGGAGGCTTGGTGGTGGTCTCAGCGTCCGTGAGACTGGCGCAGAACGGAGCGAAGGGTGGGAGCTAGTACAGGGTAAAGGACAGAGGCGGGGTTGAGCCAGTGCTACAGGTAAAACCCGGAGTTGCGTAACTAGCTTGACTCCGGAGATAACGGAAAGAGACCGAGATGACGTTGTCATCCTTTGCTGTTGACAGTGTGTGCTGCTCGTAGCTTGCCTGAGCTTTCCTTTTGGTCAATCGGTGCGCCACCCCTACCCTGGCCTGGGGTGTTTTTTCCAGCTCCCTCACTCCAGTTCAAAAGCTACCCATCCTACATGGAATGAACCCCTCCTCTGATAGCTATGGTAGAGTGGAAAGAATCCTCAGGCCGAGGGTCAAGCAACAAAACTCCAGACTACAACTGGCATTTAATAGACAAGTAGTCTTGACTACAAATGGTCAGATAACAACTAACCTGGCAAATGTAGTGACAGTGGAATGAGATAATGCATAAACAGTTTGCAGACTATAAAGTGTAGTTCATGTGTTAGTGTTAATAAATCCTAGTCAGTTTTACATCCTATATTAAACTTTAGTTCATTGTTTCATCTTTCAAAAGAGTGAATGTGGGATGCTTAGAAAAAGCAGCAGGCTGTGGTAAGTACAGAAGACCCAAAAATGCATTAAAAGATGGTCTTTACCCTTAAGGTGCTGTAGTCTAACTGGGGAGAGACACTCAAGCTAATAATTAGTGAGCAGCCAAAGTGTGCTGGAATGTGGTTCAAACACACATAACTTCTTCAGGATGTCTCAAGGGAAGTTTTACAGAGGAAGGATTTTTAATCTGGCTTCAAAATACAGGCTTATCTCGGAGATACTGCAGGTTTTGTTCCAAACCACCGCAATAAAGTGAATATTGCAATAAAGCGATTTACATGAATTTTTGGTTTCCCAGTGCATATAAAACTTATGTGTATACTATACTGTAGTCTA